TGCCATTGCTCCATGTTGTCAGCCCGACCATTGAACTTTTTATATACAGGATAGTTGTGAAATTGAAATGGCCTTTTTACTTCTGTTTACCACCTTTTGATCTCCGGTACTTTGTCTTAGTCATCTTATCTTCAGTTTCACTTGCCACATAAACACCAGATGTGGGTTAATTAAATACACGAGGTGCCCTCCAATAGGGCCCCAATTTACCATGTTATCAGTGTATTAGCTGTTCTATGGGGTTCTCAAAATAAAGGACATGGTTTTATGAACTCATGAAGAAGGGATTCCCTGAAGCAGAAAGGACATGCACACTCATCTGAACCTGCTGCCCTGTTCTCTCTGAAGGACTGGACACCCCATGTGCCTGTTCCTCAAGCTTCTCACTCATGATAATTACCTGAGAAGGAAATCACTACCATTGTCTCCCAGCACAATTATGATGTTTAAAATAATAATAAAAAATGCTGAGTCATGCAAACCTCTTCTGCCATAGTTTTTCTATCAGTTCAAGCTACTTCTATTGAAACGCTTTTTTATGAGGATAAAAATCTCACTAAAAATAACACCTACAGCCTGAGAGAGTGGAAGATTCTGCACACTGAGCCATCAGACAGCAACATTGCAATTACTTGCCATTTCTTCCTTCCTTCTAAAGTTGTAAGATCACAGCTCTGCTTTCTTCAGAGTTCTGAAGCAATGCTTAGTTGCCTTTTAGTTTCTCCAACTGAAACTACTGGAATGAGAAATTCTGCACCTGAGCCAGTCCCCAAAGGCCTCACTCAGTGGAATGGTCCGGCTCCTGCACATTTGGATGGTCTGGTAAAGGGCATTGAGGGGGGCAGAAAAACGGCCTGCTTTCCCATTAAATCTCCCCAACACACATGGCTAGCAAAGGGAACATGAAAGAGTCAACAAGAAAATGTTGGCATGAAATTATAACTGTTCAGAGCTGTTTATATAGCTAAATTATAGCTATGAAATTATAGCTGTCCTACCCAGGACGGGATCAGGAGTAGGTTAATGACAATAAAAACAGTCCAATGATTCTCCACCCACTTTGAAGTTCAGGCATAAATGGTCATCTGTTGGAATAAACCTTATATACACCCCCAAGAAAGGCTCTGGGCAAAAGACTTCTCATATGACTTGAAAATTTATCAATAACTGAATTATTGAAGGGGCAAAAATCTATTTCAAGCACCTTTTCAACAATTCTGTAAGAAGGCAGGTTCACATCCATTCTCGCTCGTGATATTTTGGTACAGTAAGAAGTCAGCTGCTTTGCCACTTCTACAACTCTTTCTCCATTTTCTCAGACTTTGTTACCTGCCTTACCAGTGCTACCTTCTCACCTGTTAGACTGAGCTTGAAGATTCCTCCCAGAATTTATTTCTTAAGGAAACTTTTCAATGTTGGAGTAGAAGTCAGGGAACTTGTTAGAAATGCAAAGAAAAATATAGCAAACCTCTTTCCAAGAGTTTAAGGAAGCAGGAAAACTGAGGAGACATTGTTGCATAATCTCCTTTGGCCTCCTCAGTCACAGATTAAATTCTGCCATATATGCTTACATTAAATACAGGGAGGAAGTAAGAACATTTAAACAACGTGTCTGCATCTGGGGAGGTCTCTCTCTGTGAAGCCAAAGCTCACCCCAAGGTGGACAGAGTGAGGACACGTGGCAGGATCACTGGCTTTGCTGTTAAATCAGGGGCAGGATCCTGTCTGGAGTGAGGAAAGTGAGTAGCAGATGCAATCTCTGGAACATGCACAGCTGCCATGAACTACTGGGCCTGCCTTACCTCATGCCGTGCCTGCCTTACCTCATGCCATGTTCATAAAAAGAGACTGGGATCTTCTCTCTTCTCCTAAACAATCACATACTTTAAGCCCCTGTGACTTCATTATTTCTATCAACCCTTATGTCAATTAACAACCTCTTTGCTGTTAGTACAGAAAAGAATGCTTCCTGTGGTAAATCACCAACTCTTAAGGTGATCATTTCAGAGTAGGGCAGTTTGCACGCTCATTAACCACCCTGTGGGTATAAGTTGGAGTCAGCTTTTAAACACCCACAGCACACTGCTTATTGTGTGCTATGTACTGAACGTTGATGTCCCCTTCCCCAAATTCACATATTGTAACCTAATCCCCAGTGTGATGGTACA